GATCAGTAATCAACAAGTATAGTTGCTAAAAGATTTTACAAAAGTACTAACAGGGTATTATTAAACCATCTGCAAAATATTATTTTTTTAAAGATAAAAATAGCTACCATTTAAACTAAGTTTGATAATAGAGATGATTAGTGAATCACCTGTAAATGGAGGTGTTTTCATATAACTATCAATACATTGGAAGTGATACAAGTGTCCACAGTAGATACGATACACATACTGAGGATGACCTTCATCATTAATAATATCCTAAATATAAAAAGAATTAAAAATAATTCTCCCAACTGTGTTCCTTCTTAAATTTTGAAGCGATTAAATTGGTATAAAAATCAAATACGACTACTTTTGCTACTGTGATTACCTTGGGATCAGTTGGTAAAGCTCTTTTATTGCATACAGGACAGGAATCAGTTGTAATGCTCCTGAGACAATCAACCACCAAATAATTAGTAATGAACTGCAATGAAGGTCTGGGAACAAAGGGCCCAGGACTATCATTAAAAAAATTAATAAAATATAATATAAAAGAATAAAGTTTAGTCAAAATTTTAAAGCTACATGTAAAGGACAGAAAAAAATTTGTGAGCAATGATATTGTTCATTTTAAAGCATACATTTGTGATAGTTTTTCCAGGACATTATGATTACCGTGGGTTTCTTCTGATAGGTGGTTCTATGCATTGTCTCAATAATTCGACTGTTTGGCCTTTCATTATGTGGTACAGATTGACTGGCAGGTTGCTCTCTTTAAATTCCAACCTAAAACAAAAATACAATTCTTGATTGTACTATTATAGTACAGGCCGATCTTTGGCCCAAATTTTGAGTAAATTAAAAAATTCGTAAAAAATCTGAACTTGATCGGAATGAGCTCAAATTTGAAATATAGCATAAGAACATGTATATGTATTGAAATAAATTATAAAAATTGAGAATTCTCTTCTAGTCATTTTTGAAAAAATTTGACAAAAATCCCTGTACTATAGTACAGGGACTTTGGCCCAAATTTTGAGTAAATTTAAAAATTCGTAAAAAATCTAAACTTGATTGGAATGAGCTCAAATTTGAAATATAGCATAAGGACATGTATATGTATTAGATAAAATTATAAAAATGAAGAATTCTCTCCTAGTCACTTTTGACAAAATTTGGCCGAAATTGGCCTAAATTTTGAGTCACTTTAAAATTTCTTTAAAAATCCAAACTTGATCAAAATCAGCTTACTGAACATGAGAGGCTGGGTATTCATTTGGAACCGTCATCTTGAAGTCTATAAAATATCTGCAAAAAATAATTATAAAATAATAAGTACAATTCAAAATGATAAGACAAAGTCTAGCATTATGCTTCCCTTATCGTCTAAAAATCAAAAGTTATTAAATCATAAATAAATAACTCTTAATCTCACCTTTAATGTTTTGTATGATAATTGATGTGAATGTAATAAAAGTACCCAATAGGTTCATAGGCTGTGCTGCCATTGGTACAATAGAAGCAACGTCAGTGGAAGTTGGAGAGCTGGGAACTAAAATAAAAGAATAATTATGATTACACATGATACAAAGCAGCTGCTAATGTTAGGAAAATACACTCATTTAATAGTACACTATAGTAACGAACTGTCTCCTATAGCACTTGGTGGAGCTCCCTTGAGCACACAAATACAAGTTAAACAAATTAGGCACTTGCTAGAGTGAACTATATCGCCAATGGCAATTTCTATACAATAATTGCTGCTGCTGGCTGACCTGGAAGGTCTTTATGAACAGCTGGTGAAGGAGAGGTGGGTGTACTTGGAGTTGAAACAGATCGAGTCTAAAGGGACAATTGAATAAAGTGAAGGTGAAGATAAATTAAATAAGTATTACGTGTGTTAGGACAGAGTGAAAGTGTTTATTAAGATAGACTGCTTCATATAGCACTAGCAATAAAGCCTCACTTATCCTATAGCCATATTATAATGTCATCATTATTAATGTAATGTTAATGATACTCACCTAACTTTAGCAGGTGGGGCTTCAGCTGGCATCATATCATAGTACTTCTGTAATGTATTAAGATTGTATGATATGTGTGTTTATTATTATTGTAATGTATAGGTGTTGATTAGTAGGCGTGTTTGTTTGCATTCTTTTGTATGAAATTCTACTTCCTGTCTGTCCTTATTTAAAACTCAGATTTGTGTTTTGAAAAGATAGATTTTGTGCATAGTAAAGAATTAAGTGGTGTAGTCGGCTCGAGTCTTGGATATATTACAACTTCCTACCTGAAGAAAGGAAAAAGAGGAGAGAGGTGAAACAAAAAGAGAGAATAAATATAATAGGAAGTGGATATTGGTCCGGCAGCCGGACGCCTACTGCGGGGCTATTGGTCCGGCAGTCCCTATATAGTATACTGGGGCTTCGCCCCAGTATACTAATACACGATTTTATATACAGATATCAAGTATAAATACGACAATCAGCAACGTTGATGGAGCAGGGTTGCGGTGGTGTAGTGGAGAGGCTGTCTGGATTGGATGGGTATAAAGTTCGGACCGGACCGGACTGCCGGACCAAATATACGGAGTAAATTTACGGATACAGTATACTGGTTTCGGACCACGTCTTGTGTATAAATTTCGGACTGCCGGACCATGGAATACAAACTATTAACGGACCTTATACGGATTATACCACGTGGAAAGTTTAACATACCACGTAGCACACATGGAAGGAGAGCTAAGGTCTATAGAGCCTATTGCTCTTCGTCACTGGATTCTAGCAGTTTATTGGCCCAAGTGATGCATGATGGCATTAATGGATTCCATTGGAGGCTATGAAAATGTAGTAGAAAAACCATTAAGGTACTATAAACCCAATTTCTTTTCCTTCTTAATCCATTATTTTGCAGAAGACTTATTGATAAATTTGCTGAGCTTAAAATTATTGAGCACAATGCATACTGTGTAGTTGTGGAGGTTAGAATTCAATGACAATTATTGTTCCATTACAATAAATGATATAATTACAGGACGTGCCAAAACAAGAAAATAATAGTGATTGTGGTGCATTTGTCTGTCGGGTAATTTTTTTTTTTGTGTATACATCTGCCACATGTGATTGCCTTTTTATTAGTTTGCTAATGAGTTAGTATCAGAGTCTTTAAAACCATACACCTTTGAAGTAAAAATATTTTTACATTATTAGTAATGGTAATATGCTTCCTTAAACTTAGACTTCCAGTATAGAGTTAAGAAGTTGGATAGTGGATGCGTTTCGCAAAAGTTTAATGTAAAATGGCTTTTATTGGTCAATTCAGTAGTAATACAAAGTTTTGTTCTTTCATTCTAGGCCTAAGTTTTGTTTCACAGAAGTTTTAGACTCACAACTAAAGCTATTTAATGAAGAGCTATTAGCAGCGGTATAAAATTGGAAACAATTTACTCCAATGAATTATCTATTTTAGGGATATATTAAGGTTAATACAAAGGACTCTGCAATTATTAACCTTAATTACCAAGCCTTTTAGATATATTTGAATTGGAAGTAAGCTTTACCCTTTATAATGTCTATTAGACATATAATAATATCTTAAATTGTCATGCAGGTTACTGAATTCTTCAAAAGCATTCCATCAGCTATGCTTAAAAAAGCAACCGACTATTATATCAATAAAAACTCTCGCCTAAACAGTAAACAAACAGCAGGTGCATGGTAATTTAGAATCATCTTTTACACATGAACAGGTTGGTCTTACCACATAACTGTGTTTTGTCTATAATCCTTTATGCAGCATCACAAACTGGTGAGTATGGTACAAAATAAATTGGAAGAGGTGATGCCAGTATTGAAAGGAGGCTTTAGTGTCACTTTTGACATATTTTATCCTGAAGTATGGTTGTCTATTCATGACATATATCTCAGGTTCTTTCTTGTTCAGCTCTTTATTAGGACTTTATCCAAACAACTGAAACTTTGTTATAGTGATGCACAGTCTTTGTATTACAAAGGAAATGATAAAAATGACATCAACAACTCACTTTAAAATTTAATTATTAAAAAATTAATTAATACCAAAAAAATAACGAAATAGCTAATTATCAACATTCATTTATATATATAATTCTTTAATAAAAACAGTTTAATCACATTTACAATAATAAAGATTACACAGTCTTTGTATTACAAAGGAAATGATAAAAATGACATCAACAACTCACTTTAAAATTTAATTCTTAAAAAATTAATTAATACCAAAAAAATAACGAAATAGCTAATTATCAACATTCATTTATATATATAATTCTTTAATAAAAATAGTTTAATCACATTTACAATAATAAAGATTACAGCCATATTTGCTACAGCAATGTTGCATCATTTTCATCAGAACTTGAGCTATCAGTTGTCAGGCTAGCATTCAAATGGTTGACTTTCATCATGTCTTGCTATTTTATCTGTAGTTGATCTGAAATTTAAAAGCTAATACATTTATATG